GGACATGGGACATGCTCTGAGCTGGAGCAAAGACCCTGAGAGGAGCTCTTGAGTTTCTGCCTGTTCGCACTATGAGTTTTATCTTCATTTTTTTTAGTTCTGTGAGTTGTATCCCTTTGTGTATCTGGCCCTGGGGACAGGGGATGGTGGTGGGGCGTGGTGGGCACTGGGCACGCGATGTCCCTCTGCAGGGACCGACCTGGACCCCTCCTGGCGCCTTTGCAAAGCTTCTCAAGTGATGGTTCCCCTGCATCTCCGCACCATCTTTTCCATCTGTAGCAATTAATTCCTCCTGGGCTGACCCAAAGGCACCAGCCCACGGGTCCGTTTTTAACCCTTCCCTTGTGAATCGCTGCACATGAGACACCTTTGGTGCCCAGAAACAAAATCCTCAAAATTCAGTCCATCCCACATGCCTCCTGGATGCCTCCCCCAGGCAGTTGCCCATTGATGCTGCTTGGCTTTTGCTGGGGTTGGCAAAGTGGGACAGTTGGTTTTGGTGATGGCGTTGGCATGGGGTGAGCTGTGCTGAAGCCCTGAGCCGTGGTAGGGCTTCGGGGCTGGGCATGGGGAGGTCCCCACGCCCCTGGTGCCACTTGGGGACAAGTATATGGGGACGGTGATTGAAGGTGTCTGATACATTTTGGCTTCATCCTGCTCTCGTCGGGTGTGAGATGTCACTTTTTCTGTCTGATATTGCGATAATTACAGGAGTTTCTGCTTACGGGTGAGAGCCTGGTTGTAATCAAGCTGCGGTCAGGGTTTTCTCTCCCTGCAAATGGCCTCGAGAAGGTGTAACCAGAGGGATGCAGGTCTGGGGTCTGCCTCGCAGACTCGAGGAACCGAGGGAAGGTTGCTTCTGTCTTGAGGGCCAGGCAGAACCCTTCACAGTCATTTTTTTGGGGCATGAAGCAGAACAGATGAGAAACTGTTCTCCATACGCTGGAGGTTGCACGTGGGCAACCCCATCCTTCATCCCCTCCCATCCTTCATCTCCTCCCATCCTTCATCCCCTCCCATCCTTCATCCCCGTCTTCCCAGGGCACGGGAAGCTTCCCTGCCCTGCCTGCCCGGAGGCCGGGGATCCCTCTCCCCAGGGAGTTGCATTCAGATCCATGCCACGACTCAAAGCTTTGGAAGACGCCGTTTGGCCGGACCGATCTGGCACCACGAAGGCCCCAGAGCCGAAACGGCTGCGCCCTGGATGAGCAAACCCGGGAGATATTTCCATCCACCTTCTGAGGGTAGAGGAGAGCAACAAGATAAATCTCGTCCCTCTCTCCACCTTGGAGGACGTCCCACCCGCTGCCTTGCAAACATCCTGGGTTGGTGATGAGGATTTCAGCAGCCTCGGAGGGTTTTGCCCAGACACTTGGCGTGGGCAACAAGCACGTTCCCACGTGCTTGCCGAATAATTCACACGGCCTGACAGTAACTTATTCCAAGGGCTACACAACATTATTCCCCTTCTCTCTATCCCTGCTGTCTATCCCTGCCGTGTGCCCCTGCTGTTTCCTGACCAAATAGTCTTTTTACCCCACCGGAGCCTGCAAAATGGTCCAGTTACACCAGTACCTGGTAACACCAGTACTCGCATCGCAAGCCTTGACTTGGAATAAATTAGTGTCCTTTTCCCAATCCCCATCTCTCTGTAGACATGTCCACGCTGTCCCGGGATGCCGCAGGGAAGGTGCCGTGTGCTGGGTGCAGAGAGGTCCCAGGGTGCAGAAATTGTTTGGTTTTGTGTGAGAATGGCTGAGCTGAACCTCTGAAATCCCCGGGGATGGGATGTTGGTGGCACCGTTCAGCCCCAGCACCTGGGGGCTGGAGGGATGAGGCTGCTTGCATATTTCAACTTGTTATTCTCCAAGTTGTCTGCCAAACTGCAGATGAATTGTAAACATGAAGAACATGTTAAGCCTATTAAGTTTTCCCAAAAAAAGAAAAAAAAAAAAAAAAAGGAAAATTGAAACCCCATTTAGTCCTAATGAGACAACAGAGACTGGAGGAGTTGTATATATGTTTTAAAAGTGAGATTTTTTTTTTTTTTTTTTGCTATCTGCTTGCTGGATGTCTCCGGGTTTTTAGGGCATCTCTTCTGAAAGGCAGACTTTGAAATCAAAGTGCTATAAAAACCAACCGATCTCCAACTCCTACTGAGATGCTCATATGACATGAGGCAAGGACATCCTGTACATAGAAATATATATAGAAATATATATATAAAAATATAAATACTGTTCTTAAGATGGATAATGTTTATTGGTATTACAGATTGGAGTGGTGCTTTTTTTTTCTTTTTAATAAAAACAAAACAACCAAAAAAAAGGAAAAAATTAAAACCTGAGAAAAACACCAAATTGGAACGATTTTGTCTATATGCAGAAAAAGTGACCCCGAAAGCTGGCAGCATCCCAGAGCTGCTGCCAACGGGACTGGTACCACGAGGCGGCTCCACCGTGGAGGGGGTTGGTGTGGTGGGACGGAGGGAGGGATGGCGAAGGAGGGACACATCCGATGTGGATTGTACCACGCACATCCAGCTGTTGTTAACTGTTTTTTTTAATTATTATTATTATTATTTTTGGCTTTCTTTCCTTTTAAGAAAATCAGTTGCATAAATAAATGTTCCAAATTTGTGATGGCCTCTGGATTTCTTTCGCTGGCTCTGGTCCGGGAGCTGTGTGATGCAGGGAGCCCTGATGCAGGTACCCACCAGGCAGCTTGTAGAAAAGACCTCCATATCGGCCGTGTCTTGCTTTTCAAGGGTATTTTGGGGGAGCACATTTGCAGGGTTAAATTCCAGGACTGCAAACTCTTCGTGGCACAGAGGAGCCGTGTTTGCCCATCACCGTGCAGAGGAGACCGGGTTGCCTTGTGCTTGCAGAGCTTTGCTGTGGGCTTCCTCCTAATAACAGCACGGTGAGATCTTGGACCGGGCAAGACCTGCCAGCCAACCTGGATGCCCACAACTTCTTGCAACACTTCTGATGGAAGGTTTCCATTGCTGGAAAAGGTGTTACAGGGGAAGAAGAAACTCTTTCAGTGCATTTTCCAGCTGGAAAATGAAACCCTATTGTAAGAAAAGCCTTCTGGAGAAGAAAGCTCCTGCATTGTCTTCAGTGATTTATTTATTACCAAGCAGCCTTCAGTTTAATCTGTTGTGATATTAAACACTTCCAGTAACACTTGAGTCTTAATTTAATGGAGACCAAGGAAAAAAAAATTAATTGACTTGTCAGGACTGTTTTTCATCTTTAATTAACGTTTGTGAAGGATGCGGTAATTACATTTTACCAATAAATAATAAAAAGGGGGATAATGCAAATTAAAATCAAGAACTGCACTTGGGAAGGGCTCTGGGCGTGCATGTCATCTTTGGGCTGCAGGGTCAGCCCTTGGCAGGGGTGTCCCTGGGGGTGAGCTCGTTGTCCCCAAGGCCTGAGGTGTTGTCCTGGAGGGCAGGGTGGCCTCGAGCAGTGGCAGTGCCCCGGGTGACAGGGGGCACGAGCTGGGCTGGCCCCTGCAGCCCTGCAACCTCCAGTGCCCACGGTGTGGAGAGTTTGGGGCTGTGTGGGGGTGTCGGTCCCTGCTTGGGGAGGGGCTCCACACCAGAGCAGCTTCCTAGCAAAGCTGTAGCCCCTCAAGCCGTCAGCAATGTCCCACTGCTGCCTATTCCTTTCCCTTCCCGCTTGCTCTCCGTGGTGGTGACTGTGCGCAAAAAACCCAACCCTGAAACCAAACCAAACTGGAAAGCATCTGATACATTTGCATCTCTAAAAAATAAGGGAAAAAGAGCCTTCTGCAAGGTTATTGCTGTGCGGCTCCGACCATCCGGCTTCCCTGGCTCCCCTGCAGCAAACAGCCCGGCCCCAGGGCACACAGCCAGGCTGGCCCTTAGTGGCTCGTCCATCCAGAGCTGCTTTGGATTTCTTCGGTGCCTGGTCACCCTCCTCCCCGCAGTCCCCTCTTTGGCTGTATTTCAGCCACAGCTCATTGGGCACTCGCTGTCGCCGGCCGCTAATGATGAAAAAACCTTTCCCCCTGGTTTTCTGAAAGCCATCATTCCATCGGCTGGTCTGTAATAAAGAGAGAAACAGCAGCTGCTCCTTGGGGCCCTGCTCCCACCAGGAACGATGAATTGCCCCTCCTCCGCTATGCCCCATTAAGGTAAAAAAGGAGCTGTTTCTGCGGGGACAAGGCTGGTGGCAATTGGGTTTGGTGGCTCTCTGAGGCCCCGGAAGCTCGGGGAGGTGGGTGGCATCACTTTCCTTCCTTGCTTCATCCCCGCAACATCTCAAAGAGGCACGGACAGCCCAGGAGAACCAACAGGTAACCGGCACCGTCCTGCGGAGCCATGTCCAGACCAGGAACCCGGGTCCCCGTCCCATAGAGATGTCTCATGGAGATGTCCCTCCTGTACCAGCTCTGGTTCATCAGCGTGTCCTGGTGAGTGACGTGTTGGGGGGGTAGCCTGGGGATGGAGCGAAACGCCTCTTTCCC